AAAAAAAAAAAAAAAAAATCATATAGTGGTAAAAGCCTACAGATGACAAAATCTTAAAATGAAAACACTGGAAAGGTCTTAAAGATAATCGAGTTCAGGCTCAGTGCCTGTTGCACAGTGGTTACAGTGCCAGCCACATACATCAAAGGTGGCAGTTCCGAACTCAGCCCAGGCCAGCTAAACAACTGCAACAAAAAATAGCCAGGTGTTGTGGCTGGTGCCTATAGCAGGGCACTGGCCCCTATAGCAGGGCACTGGCCCCATCTACCGAGGGTGGCGGGTTTAAACACGGCCCAAACTGCAACAACAACAAAACCAAAAAAAAAACCAGCCAAGCATTGTGGTGGGTGCCTATAGTCCCAGCTACTCAGGAGGCTAAAGCAAGAGAATTCCCTAAGCCCAGGAGTTAGAGGTTGCTGTGAGCTGTGTGATGCCACACCACTCTACCGAGGGTGATAAAATGAGACTCTGTCTCTAATAAAAAAAAAAAAAAAAAGATAATCCAGTTCAAGTCTCTCAATTTATAGAAAAGGAACTTGAGCAACACACAGATTATGTTTTTACCCAAATCCAAACATCCAATCAGGGCAGTGGTAGATGCAAATAAAGGGGAGATATTTTGTAAGATAACAAAATTAACCACAATACAGAAAAAACAATTTTAAAGATTATTAGAGGGTGCTCTAAATCATATACTGGTATCATATAAAATATATTAATAAATGAAATTATACACAGAGGATCTATTTTAGATTCATTGTGAAAGTTATAATTAATTGATGCCATGGGTGCTCCTTTGTACCACTTCAGGCTTAAGACAATTAAATAAGAAAAAAGCATGAAAGAAAGAAAAGTGAAACTGGTAAATGCAGGGAAGAGTGGTGGCATGTCACCAAGTCTCGGAGGTATTCTTCAGACTGCTCACTTCCCCAGCACTCCCAACCCCGCCCCCCATACTAACAAATACCTCACCCAGTGACTCTGGCCTCGAAGTTTATCATTTGATTCGCCTACTATTTCTTCCCAAACAGCAGCTGTTCGGTCAAAAGAACAAGAAGCCAAAACCTGTCCAAATTCAGGATGGGCCCATGTCACACGCCATACAGATCCGCTATGTGTCTACAGAGACAAAAAGAATCAACAACAGCATATTAACAAGTTGATTTAAAAATTATTGTTCAAATAATGTACTTTGGTCAAAATTAAATCCAGTTTATGTGAGAATTTTTTTTT